ATATACTGCTCAAAAAAATAAAGGGAACACAACATAAGACATCCTAGATCTGAATGAATGAAATATTCTTATTAAATACCTTGTTCATTACATAGTTGAATGTCTTATTTTCTCTTGTGTTCCCTTTATTTTTTTGAGCAGTGTATACACACACACAGTCTGGATTTAGCAGATCTATATGCACAATGTATATTTACAGGTATCACATAGGGTTATTGTCCAGTCATACTGTCATGGGTCAAGTGTTCATCAGAGTGACAACCCAGGGGAAGAAACTGTCCTTGTGCCTGGTTGTCTTGCGCACAGTGAACTGTAGCGCTGTCCAGAGGGCAGGAGTTGAAACAGTTTGTGTCCAGCAGGTAACGTGAGCAGGTAAGTAACAGGCAGGATTGCAAACAGCAGCCAGGGCTGACTTCTGGCAGTACACAAACATGCGGGAGAAGATTAGGTTATGGACCAGCAGGAAACTAACGGAAAAGGCCCTGTATATATGGGGAGCTGAAATGAGAGGTAATACGTGGCAGGTGAATGTGATGATGAATGATTTTGCTGGCTAGGATTGTGACAGGCAGAGGGAGACAGAGAAAAGCAACAGAAAAACGGAGCACAGGACCGAACCATAACCATAACCACAGGGCAGGAAATAAGAAACGCTGGACAGGAAGAAAGGGAAACATCTCCAGTGAAGGCAGCAAGTGAGGAGCATAACAAAAACATGACACTGTAATACAGTCACACATAAGCATCCAGAAATTCCAAAACATCATAGCACCTGATGGACCAAATAAGGACAACAACGATCAAGAAAAAAGATGTATCAGATTGCTCAACTCTACACAAACCTGTAATTTCAGAGAACAGGTACACTGCACAAGCTGAAACTGATACTGAAAGGGGGACGGAGCAGACAGATGGGCATATAACTGAAAAAAAAAACACTAAAAGGAAGGAGGAAAAAGAAGGCAATGATGAGTACAGATAGTGTAGTGCACACCCAAAAGTCTTCTCAATTGTTATTAAGAAGAAACAGTGGAAAAAACAAAAAACCTAAACAGGAGATAAAATCTCAAGCCCCCATGGACAGATATCTTTTACCAAAGATTCTTTTAAAAATCCATGTTGTACATTTTGATTTAATTACAAATGTTGTTAAGAGGAGCTACAGCTGCAACATTTTTCCATGCGTCAGCCAGATGTACATTTGATGGATGCAAGGCTGTGTACAATATCATTAAAGGAACACAGGCCAAAATCAACTGATAAAAACATTTGTTTCAAAGTTAAACAATTTGTGCTATTAAACACCTTAAAAAACAGTGAAAATTTAGACCGGCTAAATACCTGCGAAGAAGAACAAATTCAAAAGGTGTCAGCAGTTTTGATTATATGTTGAGAAAAACACAAAAGCCTAACCAAGGATATTTTAAAAAAAATATCCTCAAAGGTGAGGAAGAGTGCAAGGAGCTTGTTTCCAACAGCCATTCAAATATTATTCAACTACTGCTTTTTTGGTTCATGGAGTTGAAGAGAAAGCTGTCATACACAACAAACAGAAGGGATATGTCGTGGCTAGAGTGTGATACCGACTAAATTAATTCAGACAAACCATCCCAATTTAAAGGATCATTTTATATTACAATTATTCTGAATAGAGTAGTATTTAAACACATAATCTTGTAGTTAGGGAACAGAGAACAGAGATCAGAGAACAAAGACTCTCCTCTTGCAATGGAATAGATAAAGCATAAGAAGATTGTCAGAGCACCAGTCAGTCAAGCCATTTGATGTCGGTCCCGAGTCAGTTCCCCTGTCAGTCCCCAGTAAGTCGTCGTTCCCCCCGGCCCATACTCTGCTCATACTCACACAGCCAGAGCCATGAAGACGCGGTCCCATGCCAGCTACCCACACACACCTTCTTCCGAGCATTGTCTAAACTGTCCAGTACATGACCTTCTAGGTCGCATTGACCTAGCACACATTTCCTTTTTCTAAACCTGAACAGAGCACACGAACAGTTCACATAAGGCTACAGCTACAATATATCCATTCCCTATCTGAGGAGGAAGTCACTCAGGATGTTGACCCCTAGGCTAAACAAGGGACACAGCCCAAGATATTCTTGACTGTGCCAGAGACAGATCAAGCCTCTGTACACACTGAGCTCAGCCTTACATCCTTACACAACTAACACCAGTATTACAGTATCTAAATATGAACTACATACTGTTCTATTACATATTACCTCTGGAATCTGGTTTCATCTAACCACTACAGATAGTAGAAGTAGAATCAGATTCTAGCTGGGCTTTGATCAACAGTGTACTCATACTTTAACAAGGAAAATATTTTAATGTACCTTGACAGAGCTTTTGAAATAATGTCATCAATGGTATTACAGAAAAATCCCCATCTTTACTGTGTAACACCTATGTACACCCCAGTCTGTACAGTCAAAGCAGGCCTGTAGCTTTGACTTTGCCTCTTCAGTCCATCTTCTCAACTTTTTGACCACTGGCTTTACCTCTACATTAGCTTTGCCTCAAAAATCTAAATAGTTTGTAATTATTTCAGACCTATAAAACCAGAGAGCCTCTTCCTAAAAACGACAGGATAGCTCATGAATGTACACACCTTATTTTGTTTTAGCTTTTGATGATAGAGCTTGAGTTGATTTATATAATTTAGGTGGACACAGTCTCTATGGGGTACTGGGAGTGTAGTGGGTGGGTAGCAGCTGCAATGAGACTGCAACACTTCATCCTGGTCTCAGCTCTGGGTTGTCATAATTTAGGTTGTAAAATATCTCATCCAGATTTCTAGACATGAGAGCCGCACCATCCAAAGTGGGATGGATGCCGTCTCTGCTAATCAAACCAGGTTTTCCAAAATGTTTTGCAATTGTCTATGAAACTTACATCATTTTATGGACACAACTTCTATAGCCATCGGTTGAATGATGACAAGCGGAAAAAATATCACTGGTCAGACTGGGCAGGGAAAACTATGGAGTCTGACATTGTTTTATCAAAGTTACACACCACATACATGGGAGTCATTAGCACTGACATGAATAACAGTCTTACTGTATTTACGCTTATCCTTAGTCAGCAGCTTCAAATAGGATTTGATGTCGTCGCTCTGGCCCCAGGAATACATTTGACTATGGCCACTGGCATCCCTACTTCATGTTTCTAACTACAGAGTTGCCAGTTGCCAGAGCTGGTGTGTTGCTAAGCGGGGAAAATTTATTTGAAATGTGAACAGGAAGGTGTTTGCCTCATTATGAAAGCTAGTGTAGTAGGTGATATGAAACACAGAATGAAAGGGAATAAAGTTCTGGTTACTTCTTTTCCTTTGGCAGTTCATCATTTGATTCATTTATTTAGTATGAGCTGCAAACAAGCATTTTGACCAAGGCCATTCTAGTCTGTTCATGCAGAACATCAGTTTGATAAACAAAAGAAAAAACAACATGATCTGTGACATATGCTGCCATCCATGGGGTTTTAACTAAATATGCCATGTCATTTATGTCAATAATGTGAATTTGTCCAAATAACATTATGATGATTTCACTATGTACTCCACCAGGGAGTCAAGAGGACATGATTCTTTCATATGAACCTGTGATCTTGCAAGAAAGTAAGTCCTCATTTCTCAGTAAAGTAAGAAGCCCACTCTCACAATTTGAATCAGTGCATTAACTGTTTATTAATGAATCTCACGCTGATATTGCTCACACATATACTGTATGGTACATATTTATTCCAAACACACATGAAACTGGGAAAAGTTATCAAATCTTGGGCTTGGTGATTAGTAATTTCAGGCATGAAAATTTCCTTGATTTAGTACACACCCCCACACACAAACACATTTGAGTGTGTAGAGTTGCAAGACAAAGTACTGGCAATGTTTGCATTTTCCTGTTTCTTTGCATAAATTGCTCATGAAATGTGATCTGATCTTCACCAGTCACAAATGTGAACAAACACAATATTTCTACGCTGAAAAAACACAGTCATGATCTTTCATGTCCTTATTGAACACACACTTTAAACATACAAAGTGACGGCTGAAACAGAAATGGCAACAGTGGGGTTCTGATGTCACTAAACTTCAACTGGAGTTAGGTGTTAGCAAACCTGTAGTCCCTAGAACTACAGGTCTAGAACCCTGGACTAACAGCTAAAGACTTGAAGGATTCATTGGAGTTGGTTAACATCTCTGTTCATGAGTCAACCACACACCAGCCAAATATTGAACAGACTTGGTATCCATGGCATGACACCACGAAGGAAGCCACTGCTCTCCAAAAACAACATTGCAGCATACCTGAAGTTTGCCAAAGGCCACCTTGACATTCCACAACACTACTGGGAGAATGTCCTGTGGACAGGTGAAATGAAGGCAGAATTGATTGGGAAGAACACACAGCGCTACGTATGGTGTAAAAACAGAACTGTGTACCAACATGAAAACATCATCCTAACAATGAAGCATGGCAAAGGGAGCATCATGATGTGGGGCTGCTTTGCTGCCTCTGGACCTGGACCTCTTGCCACTGTGGAGGAAAAAAGAATTCCCAAGTTTATCCAGGTGTCCTACAGGATGATTCCTGTAGGACACCTGGATAAACTTGATCTTGATGTCAGAGTGGCTGTTTGCAGGCTGAAACTCAGAACATGAAGGGTGATGCAGCAGTACAATGACCCTAAACATCAAAGTAAATCTACTACTTCAGGGACACAAAATCCACCTTTTGGAGTGGCTCAGTCAGAACCCAGACCTCAACCCAATAGAAATGCTGTGGAATGACCTTGAGAGAGCTGTTCACACCAGACATCCTAAGAATATGGCTGAGCTGAGGTAGCTCTGTGAGGAAGAATGGTCCAAAATTCCTCTTAAGCATGGTGCAGGTCTAATCTACAGCTACAGGTGCTTGCCTGGGGTTACTGCTCCCAAAATTGATTCATCCAGTTATTAAAACGCTGTTGCCATTACTTTTTCCACCATCAGTTTGTACATTTAACCCTTGTGTGTGTTCAAAAAAGACACGAAAGATCTTGAAAGTTTGTGTTTTATCAGCTTAGAAATAGTGTGTTTGTTGATATTTGCAACTTTGGTGAAGATCAGATCACATTTCATGACCAGTTTATTCGGAAAACCAGGAAACTGCAAACAGTGCAGGTACTTTGTCTTTCAACTGTATATGTGTATGTGATTTTATCATTAAAACAGTCATAAACTTTGGCAGGCAAATGTACTGTTCCTCTTAAAAAGCTGCTTTTTTCGCAGCTACACCACTTTAGTTTATGTTAGTGAAATTAACAAAAAATCTAATCTAAGGATTGGAGAACTGAATGACTCATCTGATGCCATCTGTAGAAAGATGTATTATATACAGTATAGTGTCACCACAGTGCTTTAATTTATTTTTTGTTATGTAATTTTTTCAAATTATGGGAAATTAAACTTCTCTAATTTAGACATGTATGATGACGTTTCACAATATTACAGTGATAGCTGTAATAAATCTTTACAAAACGCAGTCACTCTCTGATTTTCCTTTCAGTTAGTTATGCCAGACCCATCATAATCCTTGGACCAATGAAGGACAGAATCAACGATGATCTGATTTCAGAATTCCCAGACAAGTTTGGGTCTTGTGTGCCACGTAAGTAGTTTTTGGAAACTGAGTAATTTATTTTGAATTGTTCATGTGAAACAATAAACAGTGAGACAGAAATAATCCAAAATTACAGGTACATGATATGTTAGCAACAGTGTGTGAAAATGGAGCAGTCATAGTCTGAATTTAATGATGCGCTTACCTGCCACTTAATTTCACTGCCAAGATCATATCTGCTGTGGAGTCAGTGGGATGTTTTGTTTCTTATCTCACCAACACCAGCATCACCCCACCACTGTCCTCTAATGTACTGCACAGTTCATTTTAACTGGGCGATAAACTGTTGGCTGTAATTGTAAAATGAAAGATAGGAAAAATGATATTACCTTTTTATCTTTATTAAGTGAAAAAACTGGTTTTCAATGTGACGTTAAAGTAAAATCAAAAGGAAACTCCCTTGCATCTTCTTATAAAAATTAATGTCAGATAGTCACATCTACTGCATAGCCACTGACCCAAAGCATGCAACAGATGTAAACTACAAATGTGTTTAGTATGCTTCTGGTTCAACAGTCATAAACTGGTGGTAATGGCTGATAATGGCACAGTGCAGTGTGTGTGCTCCCTTTTTCATTTGTACATATGCTGGCTGTGTTGATCCTGATGTAGGCATGTTGTAAATAATCCATCTTATTCTGCTCAGTTTTCACTGCAGTAGCACCTGTAACAGCCACCTTGACAGTCAAAACTCTTGACAGAGTCCCAGGGAGAATGCACAACAATCACTATAATATTATAATATACTGTATCACACTGAACAAAATGCTAGTGCAGCTACTGTACAATCATGTTACTTTAGGGAACAGTTTTATTATATTACATTGTTAGAAATTACATATAAAACATACATATGCTGAAATCCTACCACATCTGTTGTTAAGTTGAATGAGCTGAAATTTGACAGATAAATATCTGTCAAACTGTGATGCAGTTTCAGTGGCTTGTCAGCCACTGAAACTGCATCAACCTACTCTGGCTCGTTACCACCAGTTTTCTATGAGGAACTAGAGGCTTGAATGTCTCACACACAGTGTCAGCAGCGGAAACTGCATCAACCTACTCTGGCTCGTTACCACCAGTTTTCTATGAGGAACTAGAGGCTTGAATGTCTCACACACAGTGCTAAGGCAAAGACTTACAATATTTGAGTGCTGCTTATTTAGCACTTACAGTTCATTCTATCAGCACTAGACAGTGGCACAGTTTTTGTTCAATATTGATCTAAATGTTTTGCAAATGTTTTATAAGAGAAATTTGCCATACAGCTGTGATGGAAGGACCATTATCAGCTTAGGTTACCGTTTTTTTTCTGGTTTCTGCTTTTGTGTGTGTGTGTGTACACGCGATCCCATTTGAACCCATACTAACAGGATCACCTTACTCCTCTGTGTGTTGTGTTCTTCAGCCAAAGCACTTTTTATTTTGCATGTTTTGATTTACCCATCTCTTTTATTTCCATTTACCTTTAAACCATATAAAGCTGTGCTCACGTGGGCAGCGACAGTGACACCTGGAGGGGCGTGATTGGGAGGAACGGCCCCCTCGATCTGAACTCGAGTGGTGTTCTGTTATTGGACTTCTGTGCTAGTCACAGTTTGTCCATAACAAACACCATGTTAAAGCATAATGGTGTCCATCAGTGCACGTGGCACTAGGACACCCTAAGCCGGAGGTCAATGATCAACTTTGTGGTTGTTTCATCTGACCTCCAGCCATATGTCTTGAACACTCGGGTGAAGAGAGGGGCGGATCTGTCAACTGATCACCACCTGGTGATGAGCAGGATCAGATGGCGGGGGAGGAAGCTGGACAGGCTCGGCAGACCCAAACATATTGTGAGGGTTTGTTGGGAACGTTTAGCAGAATCCCCCGTTGGAGAGTCTTCAACTCTCACCTCCGGCAGAACTTTGACCAGATCCCAGGGGAGGTTGGAGACATTGAGTCCAAGTGGTCCATATTCTCTGCCTCCAATGTCGATGCGGCCATTTGGAGCTGTGGCTGTAAGGTCTCCGGTGCCCGTCACGGAGGC